TTGTGTGTATTTATTTGTGTGTCCTAATTTCCCTTTAGAATAGACTGCAGTGCCCAGATCTTGAGGAAGAAGGTCTACCTACAATAAACAACCATGCCGGTTCCTACCCACAGATCGTGGGGCCCGTGCGCCCTCTTCAATGACGAAGAGGGGGACACTGAGCGGCTGAAGACCATCGAATGCAACAAGGTGGTGGTGGCCAAAGACATTTGCCCGCAGGGTGGCAGCGCTTGGCAGTTTCTGGGCGGGGTGCTTCCAGGTCTTCTCGCTGCGGGGCGCTCTCCAGCAGTTGCGCCTCGGCGAGAGCGTTCCGGGGGGCTCACGACTTGTCCCGATCGGCCGCCGGAGGCCCGAGTCTCGTGGCCCGAAGACCACCCGAAGGTCGGCAGGGGGTGTGGCACAAAAGGGGTGCGGTGCCAATGTTGAATCTGGCGGTGCGACCTATCGTCGAGAACATCTCCATGTCCACGAGTGACACCACACCCCTCTTCTCCTCCTCCTCCTCCTCCTCCTCCTCCTCCTCCTCCTCCTCCTCTTCTTGGCTCAAGTCCTTTCCTACCTCCAGAGGCCACACTGGCCGCGCGCGCGCAGAGGGGATCGGCGCGAGGAGGGCGCCCTTCTGAGAAGGCGGGGGGGCTTCTGAGAAGGCAGGTCCTTCTCAGCAGGGGCCTGCTGCCCTTCATCCTCCTCCGCCTCCTCCTTCTCTTCCTCCTCCTCCGCCTCCTCCTCCGCCTCTTCCTCCTCCTGATCCTCCTCCTCCTCCTCCTCCTCCTGGGGGAGGGCCTCGGGCGATGGCAGACGTGGATCAAGGGGGCGTGGATTAGACACGGGCCCCGGTTCCATGGGAAGTCGCGGATTTCCGCCGCCGAGCGAGGCGGCACCGGCCGCATTTTGGGGAGGGCACCTCCCCCGATCCATGGATTTGGTGACCGCGCGCCAAATCCATGGATCGCTAATCCGTGTTTGCGCGCCCCCGATTATCAGACGGGCCTGGGGAAGCGCCTGCCTTTCTTCACTTTCCTGGGACGGACTGGCCGTCTGTCTGCCTTCTGCTCAGGAGGGCGCCTTCAAAGTACTGGTGACGCCTGTGCGCACTGACCTCACCAGTGACTTCTCACTTGCGGGCGCGAGGGACTTGCTCGTGGAGCTTCGGGGCAGGTCGGCAACGCAGATAATATCACGCCGCTGGCGGGCATGATGGACATGCGCGCGGAAACCTCGGAGCGAGCAGAAATTGCAGCGCAAGGGCTGTCAGTGCGCGCCCCGTGTCCGCCGCCGGGCCCATTCGCGGCGTCGCCGTCGCCGTCGCCGACCTCGTGGGCGACGGCTTCATCGCTGACTGTGCCGACCCGCCTCAGGAACCCAGATCAATTTCGGCTCCGGCCCCGCGAGGGCCGTGGGTCGCGGCGACGGCGCGGCCTAAGCGGGCGGCTCGGGGGCCCCTTCGGCGGCGCGGGCCCCTCCTCCCCATGCCCCCCCCTCCTCGTCCTGACGCGGGAACAGAGGCTACAAGTCGAGTGGGCGATCAGAAAGACGACCGCACAGAAAGAGACGGCCCGAACGCCGGCGAGGGGCAGAACGCAGCGAACATCGCCACGCTCGACAACCACATCAAGAGGCCCAGCGCAATCATCGAGCCAGCGAAATCATCGAGCGCGCGCCCAAGATAAGGCGCACCATGCCGAAGAAGAGCAACTTCGCGCTGGGCGAGGCGGCAGGCGAGCTCGAGAAGCAGACCAAGCAGTTCAACGCGCCCAAGAACCCTGAGGGCGAGGAAAGCTGGGCGGCGCACGGTAGACAGGAAAGGGACGAGAGCAAATGTGCATTGCAAGAAGTACATTTGGGCAGTAAGAATGAAGCAACACGGAAACCTTTCGATTGGCGGAGCCAGAATGGAAAGGACGAGGACGACGATAAAAAACGAGAGCGCTGAGAGCGGGGGGACGGGGATTCAAGAGATGCTACACGAGCATTGCATGTAAACTCGCAGAGTCAGATCCACGGGGAGCTGTTGCAAGCCAAGAGGGACTACCAGGACACTGGTGGCAAGGATGATAGCCAGAAGGGCTTGCCCGCGCCAAGCGCGCGCGCCGCGAAGACAGTCGGCGAGAAGACCGATAAACAGAACGAGCGAGAGGAGACGGAGGACGTCGAGGGTGACGCGCCGAGCAAGGGCAAGGGCACGCAGTAGGAGCAGACGCTGCACCGGGCGGGCTGCAGCAAGAGCCTTAGAGGGCCCCTCGGGCCCAACCTCCGCCCACTGCGGAACCGACCCAGAGGGCCCAGAAAGACAAGACAGCGAAAGGGGGCCCGACGGCTCCTAACTCGACGAGGTCCCAAGGTAAGCAACAGCAAGCAAAGACGGGCTTCGAAGAGATTAGGGGGACTAGTAATCTAGACATGGAGGATGGGGAATTCTCCGACGTCGCGATGGGGCGCAACGGGAGCGCGGCTACTACGATTGCGACTGCGGCGATGCAGCTCCGGCCCCGCCAGAGGGGCCAAACGCAACGGCGACCTGAGGGCCCAAAAGCCTTGTCATGGCGCCCCGCCAAACTGCCCTTTCCCCCCCGCCCCGGAACCCACGCGGGCGCGAGGGCCCAGGGCGATACAGCTAATTAGCGACCGTCTTGGAGGAAGGGGGTCGCGCGCACGCGCGCACGCGTCGGGTGGCGCCGGAAGAGTCAGAAGGAGAGCGCAGGGCGTCGGTGGCCAGGCCGAGAGCTCAGTCTCATATTCGTTCTGGCGCAGAATGTTCACAATTGCCAGGAAAAGAAGGACCTCGGGCACAGAGAGCCCCCCCAGCTACCCAAGCGGCGGATCGAGATGATGAGCAGCCAAAGACAAGCTTGCAGAGGCATTAGGGGTGCTCGGCGCGGGCGGAGAAGAGATCACGGGCTGACCGGAAGGAGGAGAGATGAGGACAGAGCAGCAGCAGCGCGCGAGCCCGCCCCCCCGACGGCCGCGCCCGCACTCCATGAACTACGAGTTCGAGGCTCCAGCGGCGCCGGCCAGCGAGAGCGCCGCCCCGCCCCGCGGGCGCGCCCCCGCCGCCCGCCGCCCCGAACGACGAGCTCGAGGCGCCATCCAGAGAGAGCGCCGCCTCGCCCTCGCCCACGCGCCTCGCGAGAGCGGAGCAGCCCCGGCGACCCGGCGCGGAAGCAGCGCGGGCAGGGCGACGCCATGACAGGACGCGGCGCGCCGACCCAGCATCTCCCAGGACAAGTTGCAAGCATAGTGATGAGGTAGCACTTGCCCGAAGCTGTGTCTTCGATTCAGCGCGTGGGTCTCGCGAGGGGGTGCGCGCCCGTCCGTGGGCCCGCTGCCCTCTTTCCTCTCTCTCGCGCGCGACTGCCGTCCGGCAGGTGCTCGCCTGCACGTTGCTGACCAATCCAGCGCTGTTCGGCCCGCTGCGCTCTCGCGCAGAGCGCGCAGTAATTCGGGACAGCAGCTTTGCAACGTTCTTCGCCCATCGAGGATACCGAGCCCCTGCAACTTCGGGCTTTCGGGGTGCGTTCCACGTGACACCCTGGGCCACGCGCGCACGCGCGCGCACTGTTGCCTCCGCTGGCGATGCAACACCACAGTTGCGTCGCGTCAGAATGCGCCAACATATAGAGAGACCTTAAACAGCAACGCTGCACGGCAGGAAGACACGTGGCGTCTGAGAAGTACGCGCGCACGGCAAGGCACGGCGCGGCACAGCTCCCGCCTCTAGAGCTCAGGCACGGCGTGCACACGCGCACGGCACGCGCACGTTCGATTGTTTTCTAAGACTCATGCGCGACGCGGCATGCGCACGGCATGGAACGACCCCAGGAATCCATTGGTTTGTCATGCGTCGCAAGTCCGGGACCAAGTTCGACACCACAGCCGCCCAGTCGAACTTTCTGTAGGCGCTGCTCACGTCCAGGCCGACCTTGCAGCAGCGCGCCCAGCAGCCAAGGTCGAGCAGGACTGCCTCGTGCACGCGATTTGCCTCCGGGGCGCAGGGTGCCCCTGCGGCCACCCTGCCATCGAACATCTGGCCAGCATCGAAGAAGCATACATCGAAGGAGCATCGAAGAAGGAAACGTTGCCTAATCAAACGGCCCCCGCGCATTCCTGGATTGGCGCTGAGGATGTCTGGGGTGTATGGCGCCGAAATCTGCGCGAATTCGGCTCCATACTGGCTTCAATCCCGCTTATCCGCTGCCTCATCTGGCGTAGCAGCCCCCCGATCGGGGTTCAATTCTCCCTGGGATCCTTCCGACGAAGACCTCCCAGCAGTTGCTTCATAATCCCTTTCCCCCTTCCCCTCCCTTGGAGCCATGGGCTGCAGACCTTCCGCAGACCCCCTCCCCCTCACAGGATTCCCGGGAAACGGGTTTTCGCTTTTGTTTTTTTTTCAAAATGCTGCTCTCGCCGAGGCGCCGGCCTCATTTTCGGGCCCCGCTCGTTCCGAATCGTGCTCCCGCTGCAGCGCTGGCTTCATTTCCGTTTTTCCGTTCCGAATCGTGCTCCCGCTGCAGCGCCGGCCTCATTTCCGCGCTTCCGCCCGTTTCGACTCGTGCTCCCGCTGCAGCGTTGGCGTCATTTCCCGTGCCATGCCACAGCACACGCGCACACGCACACACACACACACACACCATCACCACCACCACCACCACCACCACCACCACCACCACCACCACCACCACCACCAGCACCAGCAGCAGCAGCAGCAGCACCACCACCACCACCAGCACCACCACCACCACCACCACCACCACCACCACCACCACCACCACCAACACCACAACCACGCACACACGCACGCACGCACGCGCACCACCACCCACTAGTCCGCGGATAGAGAAAATGAGCGCCATGGTAAGGGATGGGAGGGAGGGGTAGGACGTTAGATATGACGCGCGCGCACCTAGCTTGCCGTCCCCCCCTCCCCCCCTCCCCCCTCCCCCTCCCCCTCCTCCTCCCTTGGAGCCCCTCTCCGCAGGACCCCCTTCCCCTCCCCTGGAGCCATGGGCTGCAGCGCCTCGTCGGCGCCCGGCGCCCCCTCGCCGGCGCCCGCGCCGGCGAGGGCCAGCAGCGGCGGCGCAGGCGAGCGCCGGGCCCCCGGACCGCCGAGAGACTCGGGTGTAGCCAGGACCCCAGGTAAGGAGACCCGGTTGGGCTCCATCTCGTGCTGCACGGGCGTTCTTATTTCACGCGTTGCCAACGTTTCACCAGATTGCCGAAGTACATTCGAAGACATTGAGTGGCCAATGCGCCGCCTGGCGCACGGTGTTCAGTTCAGTTCCGTTCCCTGGAGCCCCTAAATTGGTCAGAATCACTGAACCAGGTCTGGTGTTTTTTTCGGGTGACGGCAGCTCCGGTCAGTGGAACGGGGCGGGAGGGCGTCCCCCAGTACACATCACTAAACCAGGTCCCACCAAACCCACTTCTGCCAACGCCCGAGAGACGGCTGGGCTCGGGGGCCTCGAGACGGGGTCCAGGCCAACGGGGGCCCGTCAGAGCGCCGGATTGTGCAGGGCCCTTCGAAGAGGGAAGAGCGGCATAGGCATACTGGCATACAGTGTTGGCGCTCCGCGCGTAGCGCCAATCTGTTTCTGCCGTTTGGTCTTGTCTAATCCTGCAGAGCCACGGGTGCATTGACCCGGCCTCAGGTACAGGATCCGGCAGTGTCCTGCAGGATGTTGCAGGGTCCTGCAAAGCCTGACTGGCCCAGATTTGGATCGACACGGGTCAGTAGATCCCCGACCGAGTTGGAAAGTTGGCTTTGGTCCGAGTCCATTTCGATCCGATCGATCCGATTCGATATCGGTGTCGGCCGGCGCGATCGGATCCGATTCCGACATCCCGACGATGCGATGCGGCCCGATACTTGTGTGGCGCTGTTGTGTATTTTGGCGTAGCCGATCCGATTCGATTTCGATTGCATGCCGATGCAGCCCGATCCGACACACATCCCGATTCGATATGATGTCCCGATTCGATGCTGACATATTATGGTTTTGGTATGGCTCCAGGTTTCGCACAAACATTCCCCCCCCAGGTAGTACGATCAAGGCGTTGAAACAAGGACCATTTCGGGCTGGGGGGACCCTGCTTTTCGGGCCGTTCAGCAGGTCCAGACCGGAAAACCCATTCGACGCCGAGGCTCCCCGTGGCCAGAAAAGGCTCTTCGTTCCTGAAGCAGCGTTCCCCCATGGTGGTAGCACGATGACTGCAGTCAACGGTCGGGCATGTCCCCCGACATGCGGATTTTGGACGAAAGGCAAAACATGGCCAGAAGATGCTCCGACATAGTCACAAAAAAAGACACTCCACAAATCGGCACCCGCTTATTTGTTGGACCATTCTTGAATAGTCCTCCGGCATACACCTTAGGCGATGCTTAAGAAAACCTAAGTTTTCGGCCAGAGTCTCGATTATTCTTAATGTTTCAATGTAAATCCTAAGCTTTGAATGGAAATTTTGGGTTTTTATTTGAATTCTGAGACTCTGAATTTCTTAACCCATGGTTTCTTAAGCATTTCGCAGAGTGTAGGGACAGGCCCGACTCCGCTGCAGCCCCAGCTGGCCTCAGCAGGCCCCCCGAGCAGCCCCGGCCGCCCTCGGCAGGCCCCCCGAGCCGCCCGTCGGCACCGCGCCCCGGGCCGGCGCCTCCCGCGGCGCCCCCCCGGGCGCCCGTCCGCTTTCCGACGACGCGCGCTCTCGCGAGGATTTAGATCGCGTTGCTCGCGACGTATACCCCAAGGCTTGAGTTGTCCTATCTGCGCCTCGAGCTTCTGCTTGAGCGGAGGACTTCTTCATTTCGCTACGCGAAGGCTGTAATCCCTGTCATCCCCGATCCCCCAGCCCATCCGTCGCAGCAGGCCCCCCGCCAGGCGTCGCGCGCCCAGCAGCGGGGTCTGCCGGCTCGCTGCCCACTTACAGACGGGCCCTCCTCACTGTGTGCCTCCCTGGGGTGGTCAAGTGCTATGCCTGGTAGGATCTTCCGATGACCCGTTCGGACTGCCAACAGGAAGTGCGGGCCTCACAGAGAGGGGGCTCCCGCCTGAGACTTCCTCGCAATTCATTCACGGACGAGGTGCGCTCTCCAATCCGCTCCTTTCTTCCCAATTTAAGACCCCTGGGGTTATGATGGTCCAACCTACTTTAGCCTCGATCTCCACAAGGAAGTACCGAAACTGGAGGGCTTTCACGCGTCGGGCCCCAGGAAGCGATACTCTTTCGGCACTGTTTCGATACTTCCCTGGGGGCTCAAAATTATTTTTCTGGGACCTGGTCCTTAAGTACGATGGGAACAACATAGGCCTGGGGCCCGCCATCGGGACCCTGGGCCATCAAGCGCAGATTCGGGGCGAAAGGCCGATCACCAGGAAGGCGTCGGGACCTCCTGGCCCCCAGAGCGCCCAGGAACGGCCCGGGACGAGACGCCGGCCCCTGGGGAGTCCACCCTGAGATCTCGGCATCCCACTTTTTTGCACCAGGCGATTTCGCCAGGTTTCGGGCCCCAGGACCCTCGATGATCGATCTGGCTGGAGAAACGGCGCAGAAAGATAGGGTCCAGAAATCGGGTAGTGATGTTTGGAGGTTTTTTGTTGTTGAACAACGTCGGATCTCAGGGAGGGGCGTTTGCGGTACCGTCGGTTCGTTCGGTTCGGCGGCGTCGCAGGCGGCTGCGTTCGGTTGGTCCGGTTCCGTCGGCTGTTGTGTCGTAGCTGCGCCGTTTCGGTTTTCTAGGCTGCTCGCGGCCTGTCGGTTTCGGTCGGTTGTTGCTTCGCTGTCAGTTCGGTCGGTTGTTGTGTCGCCAGGGACGGCCATGCCATGGGCGCTGCTACGTTTTCACTCTAGGGGAACGGCGTTCACCCATATTCGGGCCCCTGGGGGGCCCTCGCGGATGGGTCGGGCTCAAGAAACGCCGCAGGAAGACAGAGTCGAGAGGTCTAGTTGTGATTTATCACGATTTTGTATTCTTCGCGACGTCGGATTCCGGGGAACTTTGGCATCCCACGTTGCGAAAAAGCATAGTGGAAATCACGACCAGACCCCCAGAACCATGTATGTTTGAAGCAGTTCTCGAGTCCGATCGATCCGTCATGGGCCCAGGGCCCGTCCTGCTCTGGGCGAAGGTCCCCCGTGTGAGGAGAGTACTGCTCCCGTCTCTCAGGGAAGGAGGTGGTGAGCATTTGGCGCTCCTGTTCCTGAAGTTGTCGTAGGAACTTGCGGGTCTTTGAACCTCTTACAAGTTTCTACATGCGAAGTTGTCGTAGGAGCTTGTGGGCAACCCTGGGGACGATTCGTAGATGCGCAGCTGGGGACGATTCGTAGATGCGCAGCTGGGGACAACTTCCTCTCACAAGTTGTCGTAGGAGCTTCCTACGACAAGCTCGCAAGTTCCTACAGCTTGCGATCAGCTGCGCACCGACGAGTCGTCCCCAGGGTGGCCCGCATCGTCCCGATCGGCCGCCGGAGGGCCGAGCTATGGTCCGTATAAGCCAGGCTGGCGGCGCCCACAAGGGGGTGGCGCGCTGGGGGCTTGGTCGGTCTTCCGACAGGATGGGGGGATTCTGAAGAGAGCGGGTAGCTTTCTTTGAAGCCCCCCTGGTTCTCCCTCGTTCTCTCTCCCTCTCTCTCTCTTTCTCTCTCTCTTTCTCTCTCTCTCTCTTTTTTTCCATGTCTCTCTCTCTCTCTTTCCATGTCTCTCTTTCTCTCTCGCTCTCTCCCTCTCAATGTTTATGTCTCTCTCACACTCTCTCTCTCTCTATCGCTCTCTCTCTCTCTCTCTGTCGATATATATATATATGTGTGTACACGCGTACATCTAATGCTGTGCATAGCTCTCTAATTATCTCTCTCTCTCTCTCCATCCCTCTCTCTCTCTCTGCATCTCCCTGTCTCTCTCTCTCTCTCCCTTTCTCTCTCTCTCCCTCTCTCTCTCTCTCGTTCTCTATATATGTTGTTCGTTTTCTGTCTGCCCTCTCTTCCGTCTGTCTGCTGCCTCTGGTTCCTCCGTTTCGGTTTGTTCCCTACCTCTCGGGTTTGTTTGTTTGCTCATCTTTCTCAATATGTATGCGGAATCGTTTGTTGCTACTCTTTCTCTCTCTTTCTCTCTTTGCCTGTCATTATCTCTCCCCTCGTGTATATGTTTACACCTCAGTATCTCTCTCCTCTTGTTCTCTCTATCTTCCTCGCTCCCTCCACCCCTCTCCATCTCTCTCTCTCTCTCTGTCTCTCCCTCCCTCCATCCCTCCCTCCTCTCTCTCGCTCTCTCGCTCGTTCTTAGTTGCCCGTGTTCTGTTTGCCCTCTCGTCCGTCTGTTGGTTGCCTTTGATGTCTTCGCTTTGGTATGCTCTCGACTTATATGGTGGCTCTCTCTCTCTCTCTCTATTGCACTGGTTTCTCTCTACGTTCTCTCTTGTAGATACACGCCTGTTGAAATAGAACTATAAATGGTAGAACGGCCGAGGCACGTGCCTCTCCCCTTCGGCACGTTCTGGAAGGAACCTCTTGGCACGGTTCTGCTCGCCTCCCCCACGCGCCTGCCCCGTAGGAGCAGCGCGTGCTTCTCTGGCCCCGCCGGCTCCGAGATTCACCACCTCTGCGCTCGCTGTCGGCGGGTGCGGATGTTCCGCCCGCCCCGTTCTTCAGCGCCGGAATTACCAATCGATCGTTGAAAACAAATACTCCTGGGTGTCCCGATTCCAACGTACTGTAGGCGCCCTGCTACTTTAATCGTCGAGGGGTTTCCCTTGTCATTCCTCTTTATTTGGGCGGGCGGAAGCCCGATGTATGTATTGTCAACGCCTTCATACTTCATGTGTCTACCCACTTCTTCTGACCCATGGGGAGAGACTGATGATTGTATTGGCGATATGCGTAGATGGGTTCTCGTGGGAAATGCTGGCTCCACCATGTGAACATTCGAGGCGGCCCGAAGGCTCTGACGTGGCCCCTGGCGTGGTGCGCAAAGCTTGCAATGGAGAGGCGGGCGGATGACGGCGACGCAAGGTCTGCGCGGCATAAGGTTCATGAGCGGGAAGGGAGCAATACGGTGAAATGGGGAACTTCCTTCGGGAGGATGGTGGCAGCGTGGGCTCGCTTGGGCCTCCCACTCCTCCGAGGCGTGGTCTTCCAGTTCAAGTGCCCCCACTGCACGACCGTCCTGCAGGCCACGCGCCCCTCCTGCCCCCAGGGGACAGGTCTGCGCACGCTTGCGCGGGCTCCTCTCGCGCTCGTGTGGGACAGCTCTGCAGGTGTCTCCGAGGGAAGTCTGGGGTCGTCTACGCATGCACGAGCCGTGGGCCCCTTCCTTGCCCATCCCCTTCTGTGTGGATCGCCGCGCGCTTTGCGACGCAGGACTTGTTAGCCGGGCTCGTTCGTGGTACGCAGGTGTCGATAGAGATCATCATTCGTGATGTCCTCACCTGGCTGCAGTGGCAGTGCTTCTTGTACTTCGGAGCAGCCAGGTGCGGTGACAAGGTCACACGAGCGTTGCCGCCTCGCAGGATACCTCAGCGCACGTGGCGCGAGTTAGTAGGGACCCCGGGAGCAATCAAGCACCGTGGGGCTTTGGTGACATGACAAGGCCAGCGACATCCCCACTGGGCTCCTCGACCTATTGCTTGTACTCTCATGGCGGGGGCCTGTCTGATCCAGGACATCCAGCGTCGTGATATGTTCACAGCGTGGCTGCCCAGAAGTCTGGACACCATCCCCGAGGTGTTTTTTCGTCCCGGGTCGTTTTCACAGTCGCGGGGCCCCGTAATGGCCCCCCGACAACCGACAACGGTCAGAAGCCTCCCCTCCTGATTTTGTCTGCGTCGGGAGGCTGTGTGCATCTTTGTCTTGATCCTGGAGCATCTGGCCTTCTCTGGGGCTGAAAGGGGCCGCGAGACAGGTCTCCACCGCGGGCGCGAACGTGCAGTGCCCGATCTGCGAGAAGGTGAGCCGGGTGGAGTGTCCGCCCCCGCCAGCTCCGTTCAACCCGCCGGCGAGAAAGTCACTCAGGCAGATGCGCTCGACGAGGTCGTTCAGGTCGGGCGGCGAGATCTATACACAGCCATCGCCCCTGGCCAGGCCCACCCTGGGCCCAGGATGGGCATTGCCAGGGACGGTGGGTGTGTATCAATCTCGTCGCTCTCTCAGGACGGGGGAAAAGACGCGCGACATGATCCAGGGGTGCATGGACGACATCACCAGGAGGCCATGCAAGTTCGGCCTCAAGTGCTATCGACGGAACGCCGAGCACCTGGACCAGTTTCTCCACCCCGACAACGAAGACTATTCACTCTCGTTGTGGAAGTTCCGCGATTGTCGTGGCGAGTTCTTGACGCTGCAGCAGTGCATGAAGTTCATGGACCCACATGGTGAAAGTTGAGCATATGTCTACCGAATGCTTTAGAGCGCAGGCTCGTTCGAGTAGGTTTCGCACTGGTTTCTGCTGCCTGTAACTATGCTGGACATCGTGGTCTGGGGGCGAAAAGGCGTGCAAGTGAGTCCTGCCTTGCGGAGATCCAAGCTTCCTGTCGGGCCTCGCCACGCCCCCCCCCTCAATGCAAGTGAACTTGCTTGCTGGAGTCTAAAGGAAAACAACCACCTGAGAGGTCTTCGCGGATTTCCCCAGAGGCCCCCCCGGAAGCCTCCCAGGGAGTCCAGGTAGGCCCGGGGGGCTGCTCTCATCGAGGATAAAAGAACCCCTAACTTTGACAACATCGTGAAGGCGTGGCCTCACTGAGGTTCCCGTCGTTGCACTAGGGATCGTATATCTGGGCGGCTTGGTCTGATACATCTGCAGAACAGGCCCCCTTATCCCTAGTGTGTGTTTGGCCTTCTGACTCAGGCCGCCCCCCAAAGGTTTGGGGGTCCTCTTGCTGCGAACCGCCCTCGAAGGCAAGGCAGGGCCCGACGCGTCCGAGACCCTGCCAGGTGCCTGCGGGGGGACACCCCGCCGTGCGAGGCCCCCCCCCCCGCCCAGGACCCCTTCGACAAGGGCATCGTGGACGACAAGGATCAGGAGGGGAAAAAGCACACAGACACCATTGATCGCCCACTCCCAGGACAACATGGGAAAATATGGGAAGTGGGGGGAGAGACAAAAACCCAGAAAGCATACGAAAATATGGGGAATCATGTTGTCTGTGTGTATGTATTCGTGTGTCCCAGGGCCCCTTCAGAGGAGCTGCTGGGCGAGCTGCTGAAGCACCTCCAGGGGGACGGGGCTCCCGCGGGCGACGACCTCCAGGAGATCGCCGCCCCGCCCGGCAGCGGCATCGGGGCCCCGAGCCCCGTGGGTTCGCGCGGCGCGCACGAGGGAGGGGCGCGAGGGGGAGGAGGAGGAGGAGGAGGAGGAGGAGGAGGAGGAGGAGGAGGAGGAGGAGGAGGAGGAGGGAGGAGGAGGAGGAGGAGGAGGGAGAGGAGGAGGAGGAGGAGGAGGAGGAGGAGGAGGAGGAGGAGGAGGAGGAGGAGGAGGAGGAGGAGGAGGAGGAGGAGAGAGGAGGGAGGGGGAGGGGGAGGAGGGGGAGGGCGCTTTCTCAGGAGGCCCCGGGGCTTCTCAGGAGAGCCCAGGTGCTTCCACGAAGGTTTCTCAGCGCCGGAAGGGCTTGTGAGGAGCCCCCTGTCTTCTCAGAAGTTCCTCGTTTTCTCAGGAGGCTGCAGCCCCTGTGCGCGCCGCCAACGGGGAGGCGGGGGTCGACTGGCAAGACGAACGAATCCGACGTCCGCTTGTGGGTCAGCGTTGCCTGCCCCCGTCCCCCCTGGCGGCGCCTGGTGCGGGCAAGATCTATACCCGTGTCCACTGCGTCTCGGAGTTTCGGGCTTCCCTGCCGGGAAGCTTGTGACGCAGTGGACACGGACAGAGGTCGGGCTTCGGGAGGGGCCAGATGTTATTATCCATATTCACTGCGCCTCGGGTGTATGGCGGCCCTTGACTATGTTTCCGAGGCGCCGTGGACGTGCATGGAGGAGGAGGAGGAGGAGGAGGAGGAGGATGGAAATCTTGCCCGCACCCGTGGCGCCCCTTCCTCGCGCCCTTCGCAGCGCCACGCGAGATTGCCCCCCGTCGCGGACCCCGCAGAGAGCGCGCGGAGAGCCTTTCGGAGGCTCATGCTCGCGCTGCCTTTTCTGCTGCTCCTCGCAGGGGAAGGCGCTTGGGGGGGGGGGGCTCGCAGCTGGGCGGCGACGTCCTCGCCTCGAGCAGCTTCTGGGGGGTAATTCCAAGCTCAAATGCGCCATCGTCGCCCGACTCAAACGCACAGTGAGCCTGTCGACAGCCCGAAGACACAACCAACTCGCAAAGAGCACGAGAGCCGTCGATCGTCCACCACAGCCAACTCCAAACGAGGAGGCCACGACGCGCCAAATGCGTGTCGACAACTCTTCTGGGGGGGCGCTCCTGGGCCCTGAGAGCTGGGCGCTGCAAGGCTTGCACTCTGGGGTTCTCGCCCGGCCCCCGTGCCTGGGGGGGGGGGGCCCTCACGGATCGACGGCACTCCCGGGGGCCGTCCGAGAGCGATCCGGGCCCGAGTCTCCGGGAAGGGTCCAGAGAGGTCGTCGGATTGCAATCCTTCGGTTTTTGCAATTTTTCGGTGTTTTGCAATCCTTCGGTTTTTTGCAATCCTTCGGTTTTTTGCAATCCTTGGTTTTTTGCCATCCTTCGAGACTTGCAGGTTGGGCCGGTTACGACCTCGGAGGTCGTAGTCCGCGCAGCGCCTGCGAGGTCCGACCTCTTGGCTGATCCTCGTCCTCCCGCCCTCCGGCAGGCCATCTGGACCTCCATCGACGACGACGGCAACGGCTTCGTCTCCTTCGCCGAGTTCATCGAGGATGCAGTTTCACGTCGCGTCCATGTCTGGACGCGGCGGGGTCTCTTGTTGGAGAGCTTTTATTGCGGGGTCGTGTGAGACATAGAAGAGAGAGAGAGAGAGAGAGAGGGAGAGAGACAAAGAGAAAGAGAGAGAGGGAGGGAACCTGGGAGGGAGCAAGATGACAACACAACGAAGGAAAGCAAATAGCATGAGAGGGAAAGAGAGAGAGAGAGAGAACAACAAAAAAGAGAAGTAGAGAAACTGAGAGATAGGGAGAAACAGGAGGAGGAGGACGACGAAGGGGGAATGGGGAAGAGGAAAGAGGAGGTGGAGGCGAAGGAGGAGGAGGAGGAGGAGATGAAGAGGAAGGAAAAGAGGAGGAGAGAAGAGGATAAGGAGGAGAAGGATGACAGGAGGATCTGGAGGTGGAGGAACACCAGAGAGGGGTTTGCGATAGCTCTTCTAGTGCCGTCTCCAGGGTATTGAGGTTCCGCGAACTCGGCCGAGCCCCTATCGATGCAAACATATGGGACACGCGGGGTATGCGAGCATCTGGCAAGGCCTGCCTTAATTCTTGACGCTTCGAGTATCCCCACCAGCCCATCCAGAACCGATGCCTAGGTGAGCAGGTGTAAGCAGCGCAACCAAGAGCCGTCAGGCCAAGAGCTGTCAGACCGAAGCTCGGGATCAGCCGAAGCAGGCCCCGGAGGCAAACACGAATGCCGTTTCGGGCCTTTCAACATGGAAGCCTCCTGGCAGCTCACCTGGACAAGTTTGGGGCCCTCTTGGGGCCATGTTGGAGGCCTGCGGCACTCTTGGGGCTCCTTTGGAGGCCGCCTTGGAGGATCGATCAAAGAATGGGGGGGTAAGTATTTTCCCCCGTCGGAAACAAAACCAGTCGCCTCATGGGGCCCTCTTGGGGCGCTACTGGGGCCGCCTTGGCGTATGGGCCCCTCTTGGGGCTGTGTTGGATCAACTTGGAGAAATCTTCAGGTATTCTAAGCCCGTCGGAAGCGAGAAGGCGAGCATGCCACAATCATGTATGTCCAAAGCGTGCTGGACAGAGTTCGGCCTCTCGGCGTGTCGTTGGGAGGTTCCGTGGCCATCTAGTGCAATATTTAGACACGCTGCCATCTTCTTGGAGACATGGTGGAGCCTAATTGTTGCGCCGTCTTGGGCCATAGTATGCAGTCTTGGAGGCCATGTCCAGATACGTGAAGGCATCGTGCCCCCCCCCGGTGCCGCCCGACATCCGATATCTACAAACACGCATAAGGTGTTCCAGTGATGCTTGCGTTGAGCGAGGGGGGTGTTCTCAATTTCGGTCGCCCCCTCGAATCCCTAAGCATCGCCTCTTGGGGCGCCCTTGGGCGCCATTTGTGCCGTCGGAGGACCCTCCTGGGGGATCTTTTTGGTCATGTGGAAGCCATCTGGGAACCGCAAAGGCCTATCGGAAACGATGAGGCGAGACGGCCGCAACCAGAGCCCCCTTAATTTTCGAAACGGGTATGGCATCTCGGGGACCTCCTCGGGAAGCTTCGTGGGCACTTGGGGCCTTCTCGGAGTGGTCGAGGGGCCTCTTGGATGCAGGCTGGAGGCTATAGTGAGCCATATGTGTTTCTAATGTGCCATATGTGGGGCAATATTGAGCTACCTGGGGCCATCTTGGACAATCCTGGATGCTCTCCCCCCCTCCCCCTCATGGCTAAGGGGAGGGGTATGGGGGAGAGGTCAAGCTGCTCACTCCCATCACTTCCATCCGCCTTCCACAGAAGTAGCACTCGAGTCTCCGCACAGAAATGGGCAACCAGTGGGAACCAGTGCATGCGCCAGCCAGGTGCGCGACTCCCGCGAGGTGCGCCGCGAGTGCCAGAGCACCACCATTACCCCGTCAAGTGACAATGGAAAATCATCGAGGGGCGCTCGCGCATGTTCCAAGATTTTGGACGCAATGTGAGCCTCGCGTGTGTCTTGACAGGGACAGCGAGTCTGCAAACGTAAGGCAATATGCCGCCCCCCCCCCCTCCCCCTCGCCCCCGTCACAATACAGTGTAAGGTGATCGTGGGGCAGGGATGGCGGGGGCGGTCGTCATTGTTTCGGGTTTGCCGCGGGTCAGGTCGGGGAGGGCACGTTTATTTCTCAAACGCAATGGCGAATCTACCTACTGGCCGCAAGCCGTCTCATTCCCACCCGCCCTCCCAACACACAGCACCCGAGTCTCAGCATTGGTAGGGGCCGCCATCGACAACCATCGGAAACCAGTGCACGACGCCAGCCAGGTGCACGACGCCTGCGAGGTGCGCCGCACGTGCCAGAGCACCCCCGATCACCTCTGTCAAGCAACAGTGCAACATGATCGCGGGGTGCCTGCGCATGTTCAAGACGTGCCGCAGTGTGCGCTTCTCGGTTGTGTTTATCAGGGTGGCGGGCCTGCACACGTGGGGCCAGATGCCGCCCCCCTCGCGGGGCGGCCGGCCATGACCGATATGGTTCCGCACAGCGAATCGTAGGTGGTCTTTTCACAGGGATGGCGGGGGGGGGCGCACTGGCCCTGGTTAGGGGCAAGTGGAGCTGGGGATGGGGCGATTGTCAAGAAGGAGGGGTGGAAAAAGCGGGCTTCCTGAACCACCTGCGCCCTGAAGGGCTGGTGGGATTGGCCCGGCCCAGTGGTCGACCTGAAACGCTGCTTTGGCGATTTCGTAGGCCGTTTTCGGTTCGATGTCGTTTTGCGGCACAGGCGGCTTGAAGACAAGACGAGGGAGAACGAAAACAAAACGAAAACGACAAACACTGACTAGGTCGATGCCTGGCCCAGCAAATTGCCAAACCTTATGCTGTCGCGTATAGTGTAGGGCGCGACCCTCTCCTCATATCTGACGCGCCTCTGGATGAATGGAGTCCGGGTCCGTGTGGGGAGCGATCCGCGTAATGGGAATGTCGAGACGGGCGGGGTGGACGCATGTAAAGTAGATCGGAAATTGGAGCATGTACACTACCAGTGGCGGGCTGGTTTTCAATCCCAGAACTTTTCAAAGGGTCGGAGACGACGTCGGTGTGGTGTGGTGTATACGTTTTCCCTTGCTTTCCCAGGGAAGCAAGGAAACATGTACACACCAGGATCCTGTATACCCCAGGATCCGCCTTCCTGTGCGAGCTTTAGTGCGGGGCCGGAAAAAAGTGTCGGTGTGAAGAGAGATAGAGAGAGAGAGAGACACAACAATATATATATATATATATATATATATATCGAGAGAAAGAGAGAGAGAGAGAGAGAGAGAGAGAACAAAAAAAAAGAGAGAAAGAGAGAGAGAGAGAGAAGAGAGAGAGAGAGAGAGAGAGACCAAGGCGACACCCGGTGACCCAGAGGGGCATGCGGGCTCCATGGTCGAAGGAGCTCGGTCGAGGCCAAGCATGCGCTGGCCCACAGCTAGCTGCATTCGGGCCCAGACCAGGCGGCCCAGGACGTAGCCCAGGAAACACGTGGCCCAGACCAGGCGGCCCCCGGCCTGTGCAGCCGGCGCCAGCGGCGTCGCCAGAGGCGGCCCCGCCCGAGGCATCCCCAGACCTCCGACGTCGTGCTCCTTCTCCTCCTGCCCCTCCTCCTCATCCTCATCCTTCTCCTCCTGTCCCTCCTCCTCCTCCTCCTCCTCCTCCTCCTCCTCCATCATTCCGTTCCTCCTCCTCCTCCTCCTCCTCCTCCATCCTCCTCCTCCTCCTTCTCCTCCTCTTCTTGTTCCTCTTCCTCCTCCGCCTCCTCCCCCTCCTCTTCCTCTTCCTCCTTTTCCTCCTCTTCCTCCCCCTCCTCCTCCTCCTCCTCCTCCTCCTCCTCCTCCTTCTCCTGAGACCTCCGACGTCATGCTTTTGTCCGATGCGTGGGCCCCGAGGTGCGCTCGACCCCTTCCGGGGACCAAGGCTTTCGTCCCAGCTCGGCTGGAGACGTTCCTGGCAGGGTCCATTCCGGTCGATCCAATTCGAAATCTCGACTCCGGCCGCTCAGGTCCGAGTCAGTGTCGATGTTCCAGCGATCCGATGCGGGCCGATGTTTGCAGGTCGCAGTTTTACATCTTTGCGCAGCTGATCCGACTCAATTTCGACTCCGTGCCGATGCAGGCCGATCCGACGCACGTACCGACCCGATCCGATTTCCCGATCCGATGTTGATTGATCCTGCCTGGAGCCCGAAAACTCCGCCTCCCTGCACGCTCAGAGCTGTCAGGAAATTATCGTATGGCAACATACAGGTGGCTTCGGCGCCTCCGCGGTGCGCTTTCCTCGATACGTCGGCGCCTCCTGAGAAGCTTTCTGAGCCTCCTCCGACGCCACAGAGGGCTTTTTAGGAGGCCGGAGGGCTTCCGAAAAGCCCCCCATACTCCGGCTATATCCCCCTCTGCATACGGTGGGCCGACGACGTGGCAGCGTTTGTTCGCGAAGCTAGCGCACAGGAGTGGGGACCAGTGGTGATGGACATCGAGCGATGGATGAATGGATCCGTGGTGATGTGCCCTGGCCCGCCCAGAGGCGGGAGCACTCCCCGCTCTCCGCGGGCGCGCGCTCGCGCGACGCGGGCAGGCACCTTCCGGAGGACAGGGGGCTCTGGCCGCCCTGGCTCCGCAGGTCGCCCCGCAGCAGCCAGCCTCGGAGAGGCGGCCGGGCTGCCTGCCAGAGCACCCCAGCCAATTCGACGGCCCAGCTTTCGCACGCAGAGTCCTCCCAAGCAGCCTCAGCCTCAGCCTCCCCGTCTGCCTGCTCCCCGGAGCGGCCGCCAGTGGGCCACCGAGTTCGGGCTCGGGCTGCCCGTGGGGCTGGACGAGCAGAACGGCGGCTCCAGCGGGCCGCGGCCCTCGGCGCCCACCCCCCTCGCCCTCGCTCCCGCGCGGGCGCGCCCTCGGACGATTCGGGCGGTCCGTCTTGGAGGCTTCTTGGGCAAACTAGGAGGCATCTTGGACGCTCCTGGGCCGTCTTGGAGGTCATCTCGGACCATCTTGGGCGAGCTTGAAGGCCACCTTGGCCATCTTGGAGGCCATGTTCGAGCCATCTGGAGCGGGGAAACCTTTTGCAGCCACCTGGAAGACCCTTCCCGGTAGTTGGCGCTATGGGCCGAAGCCCCAGGGAGAGTTCGTTTGACAAGTGAAAAAAAGCCCAGCCGAGCATAGGGCTTCGGACGCCGGGCACCCCTGTGGCAAGACCACAGTGGGCGTCGGATCGAAGACGCCTACCGCGAATCACCGCCGCTCCCTGTCTTTTGGAATCGCCCATGTGGCCGAGCGTTGTGGCAAGAGCTCTGCCAAGTTATCGGGCCATGTGTTCCCCCAGCCGTTGTAGAAAGCCTTCGGGGAACACTTGGGGGAGGATGGCGAGGAAGATGAGGAGGAGGAGGAGGAGGAGGAGAAGAAGGAGAAGGGGGCATCTTGGGAGCCCCTGGGGACACTCTTGGGGCCTCCTAGGAGCTTCCTGGGAGCCTTTTAGAGGCATCTTAGGACCTCCTTGGGCCTCTTGGGAGTCTTTGGGGGCTTCTCGGGGCCTCTTAGGTCGTCTTAGGGCATTCCTGGCCCGTCTTACGCCGTCGGGAGCCTTACCACATCATTCGCTAACCGTTCGAAGATCAATGAGTTGGGCCTCTCCGGGCCTTCCCGGAGGACCTCTTGGAAGCCTCTTGGGCCGTCTTGGAGCCATCTTGGAGCCATCTCAGGACGTCTTGGTGGCCTCCTGACCCGTCTTACGCCGTTGGAAGCCTTCTTGAGGGCCTCTCTGGGCCGACTGGGGGCCCTCTTGGGCTGTTCCAGGGCCGTCTTGGAGGTTATCTTGGGCATCTTGGAAGCCTCTTGGGCCGTCTTGGGCCCTCCTGGTACTGTTTGGGGGGCCTCTTGGGCCGTTATGTGGCCATCTTGGAGGCCTCGTTGGCGATGTTGGAACGACCTTTGGGGGCTCTTGGGCCGTCTCGGGCCGTCGGAAGATAGAAAAGAAGCAAATGCCAAAATCTTCCAAAAACCTTCGGACGATCAATGATTTTGGCCTCTCCGGGCCTTCCTGGAGGGCCTCTTGGGGCCCTTTGGGGCCGTCTTGGAGACCTCTTTGGGGCCTCTTGGGCCGTCTTGGGCCACGAGCCATCTTGGGCCGTCCTGATGGCCTTCTGGCCCGTCGGAAGCCGTCTTGAGGGCCTCCCTGGGCCGACTTGGGGCCTCTTGGGGTGCACCAGGGTCGTCTTGGAGGCCATCTTGGACGTCTTGGAGGCTTCGTGGGCCGTCTTGGGGCCCTCTTGGGGCAGTCCTGGGGGCCTCTTGGGCCGTTATGGGGCCACCTTGGAGACCTCTTGGGCGATCTTGGTGCGAGCTTTGGGGCTCTTGGGCCGTCTCGCGCCGTTGGAAGGCCGAACAAAAGCAAATGCCACATCATTCGCTAACCGTTCGAAGATCAATGAGTTGGGCCTCTCCGGGCCTTCCCGGAGGACCTCTTGGAAGCCTCTTGGGCCGTCTTGGAGCCATCTTGGAGCCATCTCGGGACGTCTTGGTGGCCTCCTGACCCGTCTTACGCCGTTGGAAGCCTTCTTGAGGTCCTCTCTGGACCGACTTGGGGCCCTCTTGGGCTGCTCCAGGGCCGTCTTCGAGGCCATCTTGGGCGTCTTGGAGGCCTCTTGGGCCATCTTGGGGCAGTCCAGGGAGCCTCTTGGGCCGTTATGGGGCCACCTTGGAGACCTCTTGGGCGATCTTGGGGCGATGTTTGGGGGCTCTTGGGCCGTTTTGGGGGGTTCTTCGGCAGTCGGAGACCGAAAAGAAGCACACGTTTCTTCAGACAAGAAAAAGACCTAAGGGAAATGTGGTTATGGCCTCTCCGGGCCATCCTGGAGGCCCTCTTGGAGGCCTCTTGGGCCGTCTTGGAGGCATCTTGGGGGCATCTTGGGCCGTCTTGGGCCATCTTGAGGCCATCTTGGACCATGCTGGAGACTTCTTGGGCGGACTCGGAGGCATCCTGGACCCCCTTCGGCCGTCTTGGAGGCCATAACTGACCATCTTGGGCGAACTTGGAGGCCATCTCGGGCCATGCGAGCCGTCTTAGAAGCCATCTTTGGGCCATCTTGGAACTAGAAGGGCATTGACGGGTAAATGTTGCGGCCCTTCCCGGGTGGCCAGCGGGAGAGGCCGAAGCCCCAGGGGGAGCTCTTTGGGAAGAAGAACCAAAACCAAAGACCGTAGGATCCAGCACGCCAGGCACCCCTGTGATCAGCACAGGGGACGGCGGATCGAAGACGCCTACGGCGAATCACCGCCGCCCCCTGCCTTTTTGGAAGCGCCTATGTGGCCGAACGTTGAGGACAGACCTGCCAAGCTATCGGACCACGTGTTCCCCGAATCGGTTTGGAAAGCCTTCGGGGAACACGTGGGCATCTTGAAGGTCATCTTGGCCGTCTTGGAGGCCTCTTGGGCAAGCTTTGGGCGATCTTTGGGGCTTTTTGGGCCGTCTCGGGCCAGCTTCGAGCCAACTTCGGCCATCTTGGTGGGTTCCTGGCACGTCTGAAGCCGTCGGAAGCCGTTTGGGGGGCCTCTATGGGCCGACTTGGGGCCCGCTTGGAATGCTCCAGGGCCGTCTTGGAGGCCATCTTGGGCGTCTTGGAGGCCATCTTGGGCGTGTTGGAGGCCTCTTGGGCCCTCTTGGGGCCCTCTAGGGGCCATCTTGGAGGCCACTTGGGCCATCATGGGGCTCTCTTGGGGGCCTCTTGGGCGATCTTGGGGGCTTCTTGGGCCGTCTTGAGCCGTCGGAGAGCCGAAAAGGCGCAAATGCCAAAATCCTTCAAAAACCAAGGAAAATCAATGATTTTGGCCTCTTCGGACTCTCCTGGAGGACCTCTTGGAGGCCTCTTGGGCCGTCTGGGAGGCCTCTGGGGGGCCTCTTGGGCCGTCTTGGGCCGTCTTGGACTCTCTTGGGCCGTTTTGGAGGCCGTCTTGGACCATCTCGGGCGGACTTGGAGGCCATCTTGGGCCATCTTCGCGATTTTTTGAGGATCTCCCGAGCGAAACGGCCGTTTTTGGGCATTGAGAGATGGATTTTGGGAAATGCGCGGGTGGCCGGCGGGACGGGCCGAAGCCCATTGGGGAGTCCGCCGCCCCCTGCTTGCAGGGGTGCACGGCGTGCTGGACGATTCAGGTTTTGGTTTTGGTTCTTTTTCTAAAAGAACTCCCCAGTGGGCTTCGGCCCGTCCCGCCGGCCACCCGTAATTTTCCCAAAATCCGTCTGTCAATGCCTTTGTTGCCCCAACTTGGCCCAAGATGGCCTCCAAGACGGCCAAGATGGCCCAAGATGGCCTCCAAGATGCCTCCCAGACGGCCAAGATGGCCTCCAAGACGGGTAAGATGGCTCCAAGATGCCTCCAAGACGGCCCAAGATGCCCTCCAAGACGGCCAAGATGGCCCCAAGATGCCTCCAAGATGGCCCAAGAGGCCTCCAAGACGTTCTCCGGAGAGCCCGAAGAGGCCAAAATCATTGGTTTTCCTTAGGTTTTTGAAGGTTTTTTGCGTTTTCTTCTTTTCGGCCTTCCGACGGCCCAAGAGGCCCCCAAGATCGCCCAAGAGGCCTCCAAGAAGGCCCTATGACGGCCCAAGGGCCCCCCAAGACGGCCCCAAGAGCGCCCCAAGACGGCCCAAGAGGCCTCCAAGACGCCCAACATGGCCTCCAAGACGGCCCTGAAGCGCCCCAAGAGGGCCCCAAGACGGCCCAGAGAGGCCCCCAAGACGGCTCCAGACGGCGTCAGACGGACCAGGAACGCCCTAAGACGGCCAAAGAGACCCCCAGGAAGCCCCCAAAGGCCCCCAAGAGGCCCAAGGAGGCCCCCAAGATGCCTCCAAGAGGCCTCGAAGAGGCCCCCAAGAAGCCCCCAACAGACCCCAAGGGTGCCCCAAGAGACTCCTAACAACCCTCATCCTCCTACTCTATTTCTTCCTCTTCCTCTTCCTGTTCATAATCATTCTCTCCCATGTGTTCCCCGAAAGCTTTCCAAACCGACTCGGGGAACTCATGGTCCGATAGCTTGGCCAAGCTCTAGTCCAACTTTCGGCCACATCGGCGTTTCCAAAAAGGCAGGGGGCGGCGGTGATTCGCCGTAGGCGTCTTCGATTCTTTTAGAAAAAGAACCAAAACCAAAACCTGAATCATCCAGCACGCCGTGCACCCCTGCAAGCAGGGGGCGGCGGATATAGTGGTCTTCGGCCCGTCCCGCCACCGCGCTTGGTTTTTAGGGTAGGTCAGAGCCCTCCTGGATGCCTGCGAGGATCTCTTGGGAGGCCTCTGGGATGCCTCTTGGATGCGGTGTTGAGGGTGTCTTGAGGCGTCTTAGGGGGCCTCTTGGGGCCTGAGTTGGGTCACTTGGGGGCCTCTTGGGTGCACCCGGGGGGGCTTCTGGGGGGATCTTGGGGCCATCTTGGGGCGGAGGGCTCGAAATGTGAGTTCGTTTCCGCATCTTTAGCGCCTCTTTGGGGGCCTTCTTGGGGGCCTGTTGGGCCCCTCTTGATGGCTCTTGGGCCGTTTTGGTGCGATCTTGAGCGCCTCCTGGGCCGTCTTCGACGTTCAGAGGGCCGAAGAGTCAGTAGTGCGAGAACCATTCAACAAAACACAGCTGTTGTAATTATGATGTTGGCCTCTTAGGCCGCCCTCCAGGGCCTCCCAGAAGGCCCAAGAGGCGCCCAAGAGGTCTCCAGGACGGCCTGGGGCCAGCGAAAACCTTCCTGGACAGGCACGTCCGAACAACGCGGGGCCCCAGGAGCGCCCAAGAGCGCCCCGGGAGCGCGCGGGAGCGCATGGGACTCCGGGCTGTGGGCCCCCTGAAGAGCAGTTACAGGATTCAGCACCGAGGACTCGAAGAAATCTAGGACACTCCATCTCCACATGGCCAATGCAATATTGTCAACGTGCACATGCCCAATACTTCAGATCACTTTGAGGTATACATGTCTGTGCTTCGCCTGCTCCGCCGTTCGTACCTCAGGGCATGGTGGCATATATATATATAGAGAGAGAGATATAGATATAGATATACATATCTATATCTATATATATATATTAGGCTACAGTAATGTTCAGGGTGGAAAGTTGGACAGAGACCAGCCTCTCCGCAGAGCAGGAGGGACGTTCCCGCGCGGGGGGCGTCGCTTCTCTTTCGTAACGAGTGGAATATACGGTTCACCTTATACATCAGACATTGACCCTTCTCGAATATCATTGCCAGAAAAGGTGTTGACGTATTTGTTCAGCGAAAGGTGCGTTACATAGGTCCCATTGCAGGTGACCTCTTGATGCGCACAACAACATGCATCATAATCCACAACACGGCTGCCATGATTTACTCCTCTGTGTCCACCTCTCTTCTAGCCCAGAAAACACATGGGCACCAGTAGCAGCAGCAGTCCAAACGTTTGGACGTGGAGGAGGAAGAGGAGGAGGAGGAGGAGGAGGAGGAATTGTCAGCAGAAGCAGGGGGGACGAGGGGGAGAGCAGGAGTGGGAGGCGGCGGTGCTCAGGTCGTCATGTGCTGGCCTGAAGTGCGGCTACCCGGGCTGCACCACTGGCAGGGACCGAGCTCGCCCCCGATCCCTCTTCATTGCGATGTGTTCAAAATCCAAATTGCGCAAAACCTCCGCAGAAGTGTTTTTTCCCCATGCTTGCGTTGTTTTCTGTTTCTCTCAATTTCGGCCCCGAAGCCCGTGTCGAGCCTGGGGGACCATCAACATCTTATTCGGGAGGGGGAGAACAATTCTCAGGAAACAGTCGAGCGTTTCATGCCCAACGGATGGCGAAATGACCACGTCGGAGGTATGGGTACTAGCAGCCTCCCGTGCATCAGCGCAAATGGGGTCGCTGCTGACAGTCCGAGCATGCCAGGTTGCTCGGATCGGCAACGTGGGAGGGGAGGTGGGCTTCATGAGCTTTTGCCACGCACGCCGCTAGCCGCCTGATTCGTCGCTTTCTCGACACACGCGCGATGCTTCCGCTCAATCCCTGGAGTTCGGGCGGAACCGCTCTCAGCGCCTCTGCTGGTGGGAGAGTCTGATGCATCATGTAAGGCCCCAGTTGGCTCGGTCGAGTACTCTACTCGTGATCAAGCTATGGCAGGCTTGCGCCGCGCTGACGCTGGGGCAACCCGAGCGCGGGCGTTCAAGGTTGAACTCTGGCGGTAGCCCAGAATCGGCCGACATCGATCGAAAAGCGACATCATTCAAAGTTGAAGGATCCACGCGGTGTCAGAAACCAACGACGTTCATCTTGAGGTGAACACGCTGTCCACCTCATACATTCTCTTCCACGACAACCCACCCCACGAATGGTCCCAGTGGGCGCGGTCGCACACCAGCACACGTCTACAGGGCGCAGAGGGTGTGGTCGCACACTGCACGGTCACCCAGAATGGCTACTAACCTCTCTCGAGTTTCACCCCTCTCCCCACTCCACCGGCATGAAGGGAAGCAAACCTGGAGGAAGGCTGCCCTCCATGTTTTCCACTGTTGTCTGGTTCCTGGGGCTCTTCCCGGGCCCGAAAACCGTCAGGACCCGTGTCCACGAGGACCCCCTTCCCTTCCGAGCGACCAACTGCTCGCGCATTCCTCCCCCCATACGGTTCCCGACTGCTTCACAAATTTGCACGCGCTCTCGCACACACTTGCGATCAGGAGCGTTTACTGAGCGTGTTGCGCCGCCAATTCTGGCCCACCACGCTTCGGCGCGACACGCTACAACCCTCGTCAAAATTAACCTCAAAATGGCGGGCACGCCCCTTCGATGTCGGCGCGCCCCTTCAATGTCGATACGACGCCCCTTCAATGTCGGGGCCAGGGCAGATGTGGTGTGACCGGGAGCGACTCGAAAATTCAAAGATGACCGACATTGGAGGGGCGGCGCATGCAAGTACATCGCACTCATCGGCACTCGGTCCGATATCTCCCACAATCAGTTCAGCTACGTGAGGCATTTTTGAGGTTATTTTTGACGAGGGTTGTAGGCACGTCCCAGTCACCAGACATCGACGTCCCGAGCTTCTCCCAGCCTCCGCCCACCGAAGCGCAGCGACAGGCTGTCAGCATGCGAGGCGTAACCAACGTGCCGCAGGGGCCGCCGCCACGGCACGTTACGCACGAGCTCCTTAACCTTGGCATCGCTCGGACGTGTGATTTTTTTCCTTCGGCGAGGACCATCGAGGAGCATCCTTGATCATTTGGCGAAAAAACCACGCACGAAACCAAAAAGAACAGGGAATGGACGTCCGAGCGATGGCCAGTAGCGCAACATCACTCGAGCGGCGCAAGAAAGAGCGGGGCCGCCTTCGCCGACATGGGCGCGTCAGCTGCCCGCGTAGGGTCGCGCGTGAGCGCCCCCGTCTCCCATGTGGCGTGCCGCGCCGGCGGCCTGCGGCAGCTGCGGCGCGAGGTCGCCGTGCCGTCTCGCGCAAGACCCGTTCCCGATCCTCGCCCACCTCCCCCCCCCTCCCCCTCCCCCCCCTCCCCCCCCTCCCCTCCTCCTCCTCCTCCCCTCTCCTCCTCCTCCTCCTCCTCCTCCTCCTCCTCCTCCTCCTCCGCCTCCTCCTCCTCCGCCTCCTCCTCCTCCTCCTCCTCCTCCTCCTCCGCCTCCTCCTCCTCCTCCTCCTCCTCGCCCACCCCTCGCGCGCCTCGGCCCCCTTCCGGGGACGCCACCCGTGGCCCCCGGCAGCCGTGGGCACACCGAGCAGGGCAGGGCCGCGCCCAGGCGGCCGGGGCCCCCTCGCGCGGCGGGGCCCGCACGGGGAGCCCGAGCAGCGGCCCCCAGCGGGCTGCCGCGCGCGCTGCAATTTTACCGGCCTCGAACGTATCCCCATCCCTAAGATCGGAGGGCACCGACTATACACCTACACCCTCGGCGATGCTTAAGAAAACTCAAGTTTTCGGCCAGAGTCTCGATTGTTCTTAACGTTTCAATGTAAATCTTAAGATTTTAATGGAAACGTTGGGCTTTTATTCAAGTTCTGAGACTATGAATTTCTTAACCCATGATTTCTTAAGCATTTCGCAGGGTGTACACCGATCCAGCCCAGGCCAATCCTGGGCCCAAGATCGGTGTATATGCATCCTGCCCGTGGCAGGAGGGCGTATGCACCGATCCTGGGCCCAGGTGGATCCTGGCCGGGATCGGTGTTGGTGTATGGTTGGTGCCTCCCTATAAGACTGACACGCCAAAAGGCGATGACAATCGCAGGGATTCGCCCTCAAAACATAAGGGAGTCCCTAAGATTGGCATCGTGATGGGGAGGTGCCCAGCATATAGGGATAGGGATATGTTCCAGGCTGGTGAGCAATGGGACTGCAGTAGGCGCACCCGATGGGCAACCGGCCTGCAGGCAGCGTGCCGCACGGAAATGTCTGGTCCCCCGGAGATCGAAGAAGGAAAGGCGCGACGAACACGAACTTTTGGCGCTCTTCGCGCGGATTTCTTGGCTCCGCGTTGGGGCCCTCCCGGGCGGCGCCTCGGGTGCCGCCCCTGGCGCCCTCCGCGCGCCAGGGAGGAGGGTCCAGCGCAGATCCCAGAGATCCGCGCGGAGCGCCAGAAGTTTGTGGTTGTGGCGTGTCTTCTCCTCCAAGATCGACGCAGAAGGTGCCGCGAGAGCTTCCTCGTGGCAGGACGTCTCCTCGTGCGTGTCCACTGCAGATCTGGCCCACGCCTCCGATGCTGGTTCGGCCCCAAGCGCGTGGGCGGGCGCAGAGCAAGGCCCGGGGCCGGAGCGGCCCACCACCTCCGCGCATGTCGAGCCCCCGCAGGTGGCCCCGGGGCCCTCCAACACGGACCCGGGGCGCAGGACTGCCCCCCGGGGAGGCGGTCGGGATTCGCGGACTGAGGAGGTCGTGCCGGCAGAAGTCGGGGAGGAGCGCCCCACCTGGCGCGGTCGCACCGCGCGCTGCGTCCGGGTCTTGGGGTCACCTTGGAGGCCGTGTTGAGGACGTCTCGGGGGCCTCGCTGGGGTTTCCCGGGCGGCCTCTTCGAATCTCGGGCCTCCCTTTTTGTCTGCCCCCGCTTCCCTCTCCCTCCACCCTTTCTCCTCTTTCCTCTTCCTTCTCCCCTCCCCCCACCAACGCTGCTCCCTCTCCCTCATTGCATTCGATGTTACGCTTCCGTGGGTGCGGGCACACACCGTGATCGCACCTGTTCCGGCGGGTCCCTCGGTCATGCTCCCCCTTTGACTTGCGTCCAGCCCAAATGAGGGGCAATTTTTGGGGAATGGGCTCAGGGGGGAATGTATCGACCCCCACCACCCATTGATCGCCGATAGGTCGGGGCCCACTAGCACACCCCGCCCAGGAACGTCCCGATTCGCCATCGGAGGCGCATCGCCGATCTATCGGCGATGTATCGTTGGCTCCAGATCGATATTTGTTCCCCGCCTGAGCCATTGACCCCTGACGTTCCTCCGAACTCCTAACCTAAGCTGACATGCGGCCTGATTTGAAATTCGTACCACTTTTATTTGGTCGTCGTCCTCCTCCTCCTTATCCTCCTCCTCCTCCTCCTCCTCCTCCTCCTCCTCCTCTTTCTCATCATCATCACCATCGCCAGCATCACCACCATCATCACCACCACCAGCAGCATCATCAACATCATCATCATCAACGTCATCAGCATCAGCATCACCAGTATCATCACCATCACCATCACCAGCATCATGATTTTCAGCATCAGCACTACCATCATCATCAACAGCAGACCAATGGCATCTTCATCATCCCCATCATAATCATCATCACCATCGTCGTCATCAGCATCATCGTCAGCAGCAGCATCATCACCATCTTGACCATCACCGTCATCATCAGCAGCAGCAACATCATCGTCATTATCACCATCATTTTCAGCATCAGCAGCATCAGCATCAGCATCAGCATCAGCATCAGCATCAGCATCATCATTTTTGGCGTCCCATACAGGTTTTTCCTATGTGCTCGCCTGGTCCAGCTTGAGGTCTTTCGCATACGGCTGCGACACCCCAGCGCTCGCCTTAGCAGTGGGTGCTCGGTCGTGAAAATGTATTCCTGAGCTGAAAGACCCACAGCAGGCGAGCGACTCCGGACAATGAAACAAGTTTGAATTACGAGACCAGGACCCCACATTAGATTTACATGTGGTGTGTTGATGTCTGGCGTGGCCATCTCTCCCCGCTCCCACTGGCACGCGCTACCCCGACGAACATCGCAGGACCTCACGGGCAACCAATGTGGGGCCTTGATCATACACACGCGCACTGATTGAGCCGATGTCTGTGTGTCAACGCAGGTACCATTAACGTTGCGGATGGGGCAGCGCGTATCGAGGGTGGTCACCGAGGAGCGCGGACGTGCTGCGATCACGGTCACGGACAAAGGCAGCAATGAAGACGCGATCTTCGGCGAACAGCCTCCGACGGCGTCCAAGCAAAAAGGGAAAAGGGCGCCCGCTCACGCCACGGGTGGCCGCTTCGCGCTGCTGCTGGTTTCATGGGGTGCGAAGGCATCCGATCGAGCTGGTTCTGTGTGATGCGCGGTTTGCGGGGCCATCGCACCCCTGGAGGCAATGCCAGGGGGGTGGGGGGTCACTACTGAGGGGGTCGCCAACTCCTCCTGAGAACGGAGTTCCTAGGGTCAAGGGGTCGAGGAGGTTTTGAACCATGTTCAGCGTTCTGGGAGGCTCTGGCGGCCTCGGGGGGGTCCTGAGTCCAGGACCGTCCTCCTCGACGAGGTGACGACCCCCTAGTGCTGAGCCTCCTTGGAATTGCCCCTTGATCCGTGTCATACTGGGGGGGGAGGTTTTACCCAATTCTACGATAACTCCGTTGATTGGCATCTTTTCTTGACCAAGCCGCGGGAGCGAGCGAGGCTGGCATCTTCGTAGTCACTTTTCTCCTCCGCGTCATCGCCATCGTGGTCACCTCCATCGTCCGAGTCAACACGTCTCTTGCCAATGTGTGCGCGTTGGTGCTTACCCGCAGTATCGCATGTCGGCGCTATTGTCTTCATTGTATCGTCATCGTCGTCGCATCTCGATTCTGTATGACACGTGCAGCCCATGGGTGCGTATGATGAGATGGGTGAGGAGGATCACTCCAAAGTTCCTGTCTGATCTTCCTGAGAGCATGCTATATTGTCGCCACGTTCACCCCGCGTTCCCTCGTCTTCAGTATGTTGTTGTTTCCCTGTCTTGGCTCTCCCGAGGACGGCATGCCGTGCATCAGCTTCAAGCCGACCAGGAATGGGCCCTCGTACATGTGCAGATGCAGGCACAAGCGCTCGGTGCACTTCGTGCAGGACAGCTTGACGGAGATCCAGGCTCGCCTCGGCAGGGAAGTCTCCCCTGCCGCTGGAAGGTATCTTCTTAGATTCTACACGATTTCCGCGAGGCTGCGTACGGTTTCCGCCTTGGCCCACCTGCTCCGTCCTCGTCTCCTCGGCCACCTACCCCTTTGGGTGGCACGTGTATCTGCAGCCGCAGAAAAGACTGCGCCTGCGTCGAGCGCGGAACAAATCAACAAGGACAGAGTGCGCATCCTGCGCGGTGCCATCACCTGCGAACCGCACCCGCTTGCTCCAAAGACGTGCTCCTCTCGGCGGCGCGCCTGGGGGGAAGCGAGAGGGGGCGGGCCTTCTCAGAAGGCTCGGAAGGCCTTCGGCCTTCGGAGAAGTTCTCGAAGCCCTCCCCGAAGGCACAGAGCCTTTTGTTCCGAAGGCGCGAGGGCTTCTGCGAAGCCCCGCCGCCTTCTGAGAAGGCCTGCTCCAGTAAGGGGACAAAAAAGTGGAATCCCCTCGCTTTCGACCCCGCGTTCGGCCCCCCCTCCTCCCCCCCCCAGACTCCAAGTCGGCGTCCGGCCTGCTGCAGGCCCTGGGGGTCCACTTTTTTGGTGCTCCTCGAGCCTGTGCTCCCGGACGCGCCCAGGGTCAACTTTGAAGAGAGGGGGGGGAGGGGGGCGGGATCGGGTGTCCCAAAACTGTGTGGTGACAGACCCGGCGGTGACCTCGAAATCCGCAAAGACCTCACCGCACGGTCCGTCACCACACGGTTTTGGGACCCTGGAGGCCCCTGTCGCCCGAGACATCCTCCGAGAGGGACTCGAGCCCAAAACCGTGCGGTGACCCCGAATCCCCACCGACTCACCGCACGGTGTGGTCACCACACCGTTTGGGGGCCCCCGGGGGGAGCGCAGCCGAGGGTTCCGCTGTCCTGCCCATCTGCGGCTCCTCTCGCTGGCCCCCCCCCCCCCCCGGGACGCGCCGCCGATCCTCTTCTCCCGAGAGCCTGCGGGCCGCTGCGCGGGCCCGCCCCCCGCCCCCCCCCCTGGCGCGGGCGCGGCGCCGCCAGAGGCTTGGCATCGCTCGGACGTGTGCGTTTTTCCCTCGGCAAGGACCATCGAGGAGCATCCTTGATCATTTGGCGAAAAAAAAGAAACACGCACGAAACTGAAAAAAAACAGGGAATGAACGTCCGAGCGATGGCCAGGAGGCCCCTGCACCGGCCGACGTCGCACGGTCCGCGCTGCAGAGGCCTCGGGCGCGGGCGCGGCGAGGTGGAGCGCCGCCAGAGGCCCCGGGGCCCCCTCGCGCAGGGGAACAGAACAAGGAAGTCGCGGCGGGAGGTCTGTCACTGGCTCGACCTCTTGTCGGCGGCGAGCGAGGGGGGGGGAAGTGCGAAGGGGCCTTCGGAGCGAGAAGTGCTGGAAGCCCCCCCGGCTTTTCTGAGCAGTGCTCGAAGCCTTCCCCGCGGAGACCGCAGAAACCTGTCGGAGGGCGCGAGGGCTTCTGCGAAGCCCTGCCGCCCTCTGAGAAGGCCTTCTCCTTCTCACATTTTTTTTCTCGCCCGCCGCCGATCTGGGGTCCCCCGCCGGGCCTCGAGGCCGTCAAGAAACGGCTCGGGATGAAGAACCGGCCCCGGGGAAGGAGTCGAGACTTTTCCGGCGACCACGAAGGGTGCGGCTATGCGCCGGGGTGCGGTTTGCGATCGGCGCCGTGGGGGCCTGGAGGGCACGACAGCGTCCTCGTCGGGCCTCGTCGGGCTTCGTCGAGGCACCAGCCCGACCCCCATGGTGCCCCCCAGGCTGCCGATTGCAAACCGCACCCTTTGCAAGCCACCCCCTTCGGAGTCGCCGACTTTTGGGGGGGCCGACGCCGCGGCAAAAATCCTGGCGTCGGGGGGCGGGGGAGGCCCCGCCGCGGCCGCGGTCGAGCGGTCCGCGCTGCGGGCCTCGGAGCAAGGTTCGCGAGGGCACTCCCGACGCCGCCATCCGTGAAGGCCCCCCCCAAAGATCAGTGCTGGTCAGAGCCCCGAATCATCAGGGGTAACTCGGGTCAGGGGTAACTCGGGTTCGTTTTTTCGGGAATCCAAACCCGAGTTACCCCGGACCCGAGTTACCCCGGATAACTCGGGCGTCCAGAGGCCCACATCATCAGGGGTATCTCGGGTCAGGGCTAACTCGGGTTCCTTTTTCGGGACTCCAAACCCGAGTTACCCGGGACCCGAGTTACCCCGGATAACTCGGGCGCCCAAGCTGGCGCTGGGCTGCATGGGTTGCACTTCGACCGCAGTCCCCCCCCCGCGCGTGCCAACTTTGAATTTGGGGGAGAGGGGGGGGGTCCACAGGTTGTCCCCCTCTACCACATCACAGAGCCGCGATCGCTCCAGGTTGGACGATCGATGCGGTGTCAGAGACGAACACGTCGGCACGACACGAACCTGCTGAACCAGTGAGCTCGCAGGAGTGGGCGGGCGGACGGGCGGACCCGCAGGTGCCGGAGTACTGGAAGACGGCCGCGTCGCAGGACGCGGACGCGGCCGCGGCGGAATTGGCGGAGTGGGTGGACGTCTCGGACCAGAAGCACCACTTCCAGGCCCGAGCTTTCCCTCGACCCCGCCGGGCCGTGCTGCCAGAAGGCCTCTGATGCCGAAGGCCAGGAGGGTGGACTCTTGTCTGGGCCAGGGCCTCCTGGAGGCCCAGTGCGGACCCCAGAGCCCACGAAATGATCTCAAACGGCGCGAAAACTATGCGAACTGGAACCTGCGTTTCCCACTCGTAGATGGAGGACGGTTTCTTTGGAAACAGACCTTCTGCCTGAATTGCATGCCCGTGGTGCCGCTCGCCTTTCAGAAGGGGCGCTTCGCGCACCGATACACATCGCTTACAGGGATTAGTCAAGGGAGGGAAAGCCACCCCGACCCGGACAATTTGCGTTTACTACTAAACGGCCGCGGGCCTTTACTGAACAGCCTTGCCCTGATCGATTCCTTTCCTTGGGTGCGTTTGCTCAACGGATTCGCTTGCCGGGCTGCTAACTATTGGGTTGGAGCTCCTGCTCTCTAGTTCGTGAAGAGGGGACTTGGGACGGGAGGGTGTATTGTGGCATCGTTCATACATCTTGGGTGTGCGATGGAAAGCGTGACTATCCCACACCAAAAATAAATGGACGTCCTGGGGTCTCAGGGTTGGGTTTCTTGTGGAAGGTTTCTCGTGGTCGAGCTCCTACTGTAGCTTTAACTTCCGATGGGATGGCAAGGCGCACAGACGTTGGAAACGGTTCCAAGGATGGGGGCGGCTCTTTTTCAGCACGGGGCTCTCGCTGGGCACCTCGCTGAGTTTGGCAACATGACCTCTTTCGTAGTGCTGCCAACACGCCAGAAAGGTGCCAAGCAGCTCCTCCTCAAAACGGTGCCCTCGCCTGACCGGCATGCGCATAGGGTGCTCGTCTTACAAGGAGGCGCTTCTCGCAGTGAAGAAGAAGGCCTCTGAGGACCATTGAGGAGGGGAGTTGTAACGGGAGGGTATGTTGCAGCATCGTTGATGCATTCTGGGTTTATTTAATTGAACGCCCCTGAGGGGGCAGACACCGCCGCCCCACCCTTTCTGGATCGTGGACTTCGTGGGATGGGGGGGGGGCACGACAGCGCCAGAGACCCGAAACAGATTAGAAAATGTGCCCAAGAGGGCCCCAAGAGGCGGTCGAAACCGAAGAGGGATATCCAGCGGGAAAAAAAGCTACCCGAGTTTGTTTTGGGGCCTCGGTGTGGCCTCTAGGGACCCCCTGTCATTCAATCGCTTCGCTCACTCCGCCAGCCCACGCAGCATTTCTGCCGTGAGCCCGACGGCTCCGTGTGAATGCGGCGTTGTTCGGGTCTCTGTGCAGGCGTTTCGGGAGCTCCTGGAGGCAGGTTTCAAGTCTCTTGAGGGCTCTTCGAGGCCATTTGGGGGGGGCCTTGGAGCTTCTGTCTCAGTCCCTCGGAGGCTTCTTCAGGGTTTGTTGGGGGGTTGCTGGCGGTCTCGCAGGCGTCCGCCGGAGCGACTGTCATTTTAAGTTCCCCGTCTTGGTCTCCCTTGGGGTCATCCTGAACGCCTCTCGGACCGTCTCAGGGACATCATGGGCCGTTTCGGGGCGCTTTTGCGCCGTCTTGGGCCATTCTTGGGGCCCTGTTGGGCGCTCTTGGGGCGATCGTGGGGGCCTCATCGTCAGTCTTCGACGCTGTGTAAAGCCCTGCTCCGGCTGGGGACTTCCTCGGTTCCTCGGGATGTACTGAAAAATCGCCCTCTGGTTGGGGAGGTCTGAATGGGAGGTACTCCACAATCGCACTCTGGTTGGGGACGTCCTTACGATGTACTCAGGCGCAGCGCTCGCGTCATGAAAGGATGGCGTTAAGCTAAGCTAAGCTAAACTAAGCTTAGCTAAGATGCGATGCTATGCTATGCTATGCTATGCTGCGCTGTGCTATGCTAAGCTATGCCATGCTATGCTATGCCATCCTATGCTGCGCTATGCTAGGCCATGCTATGCTATGCTATGCTATGCTATGCTATGATGCGCTGTGCTATGCTGCGCTATGCTATGCTAAGCTATGCTATGTGATGCTCATGCTGCGCTAAGCTAAGCTAAGCTGGGTGCGGAGCTCGAGAGTCAAGGTTGGGCTGCTGGGTTCGGAGCTCGAGAGTCAAGGTTGGGCTGCTTGTGACACGTAGAGGAAGACTGAGTTGGAAAGATATGCACAGGAAGAGGGAGAGGGAAAGAGAGAGAGAGAGAGAGGAAGAGAGAGATTGGATCGTGGATTTCGTGGGAGGGGAGGCAGCTTATGAGACGCAGAGGACGGATATGGAGAGAGATGCACAGGAAGAGGGAGAGGGAGAGAGAGAAAGAGAGAGATAGAGAGAGAGGAATAGAGAGAGAGAGAACGAGAGAGAGAGAGGGAGAACGAGAGAGAGAGAGAGAGATTGGATCGTGGATTTCGTGGGAGGGGGGGGCAGCTTGTGAGACGCAGAGGAGGACGGATATGGAGAGAGATGCACAGGAAGAGGGAGAGGGAGAGAGAGAGAGAGAGAGAGGTAGAGAGAGAGAGGAAGAGAGAGATTGGATCGTGGGTTTCGTGGGAGGGGGGGCAGCTTGTGAGACGCAGAGGAGGACAGGTATGGAGAGAGATGTACAGGAAGAGGGAGAGGGAGGGAGAGAGAGAGAGATAGAGAGAAAGGGAAAGAGAGAGATTGGATCGTGGATTTCGTGGGATGGGGGGGCGAAGACAGCGCCATAGAGTTCCGAAATAGTAGAAAAATTGAGCCCAGAGGGCTTGCGGAGGCTGCGAAAACAGCCCAAAAGGGTAGCCGAAGGGGCCAAAAATTGCGAACGAAACCGAAAACGGAAACAGAGAGGCCCAAAAAAGCATTTCCAGTTTGCTTGGGGGCCTGAAATGGGCCTCCAGGGACCTTTCTGGGCGCGCCCAATACGGCCCAAGAGGGCGCCAAAAAGAGTGCCAGACGGCGCAAGATAGGTCCGAGAGGCTTTCAGGACGGCCGCAGAGAGCATTCGCAGGTTCCAAGATTGCCGCAACAGCCCGCGGAGATCCACGGGAGTCCGAAAAGGAGGCGCGAGGAGAAGCCGGAGAAGGCTAGAATCGTGAGAATCCTATGTGTTTTAGGATGTTTTTTGCTTGTCGTGGTTTTCTGGTATATTTGATTCGAAGAGAGGCGGAGAGGCATCCAGAACGGCCCAAAGTGGCTGTAAGGACGGTGAAGATCAGGCTAGGAGGGCCCCAGGAGGCCCCCGAAACCGGCTTCGTGGGCTCCCGGAGAAGTCTCTGAGAGGGCCCGGCGGCGCCCAGAAACGTAGCATGTGAAAGGGACGCCGTTTTGGGACGGAAATGGCGGCCAAAGGGCGCCCCGGGTGCAGCCAGGGCCCTCGGGCCGGCGGAATGAGCGGGCTCCGGGGAGGACCCCAGGAGGGGTTGCAAGAGCTTTGAGGAAGGGGATGGGAAGGAGAAGTGCGTGAGCAAGGTGACAGAGGGGAAAGAATCTTGGAGATCGTGCCTTGGGCGTCCCACACGCCGTACCCGGTGGGGCGGCGGATCGCTTCGCTCATTCCACCGGCCCTGGAGCGCTATTTGGGGCCTCTTGGGGCCGTCTGGGGGGCCTCTTGGGGGCTTCTTGGGAGTGGCGAAAAATAGCCTCCCCCCTGGGGATCGCCCGGGACCCGGCCGGGGATCAGCCGGGGTACTTTTCGTCCAGGGGCCCCCAGGGTCCGACCCTCGCGCGCGAACTAGAAATACTGTTAAGTAGACACTTCTGGCCCGTTGGGCCGGCGAATTCTGGTCTTCCCTCCACCTTTTCCTGGTTCCTGGTGGTTGCAAGATCCTCCGGATGTAGCCCGCCCCCCCCCAGGGCAGGTCGGCACTGGGGGGTTGATCAAATTAGGGGCAGGTGACCCATGGAGCACCGCTCCAACGGCCACGGGCGGTGCAGTATAGTAAAACAAAGTAAGGGGGAACGACAGACGGAAGTCGAGGAGAGGATGGGAGGAGGAGAAAGTATCATGACCTCGAGGGGGAAGGGAAGGAATGGGTGGTTACGCAGGCAGCGGCGGCATTCGTGTCAGACATATAGTGGGAAGGGGGAAGGAGAAGGAGGGGACCATCATGACCTCGAGGAAGAGACTGGTGGGGATAAGCTCGTAGCGGCAGCAGGTTGAAAGGTTGGTGGGTGATGTGTGAACGGAGCCGCGGTGACTGGCTGGATTGCGACGAGACAGGAGGTGAGGTGGACATGCGGTCGGCTAAGCGCGCTGGACATACAGTCCGAGAAGAAATGCTTGGAAATGGATTTCGCGCTCGCCCAAGGGCCACGTTCTTCGAGACGTCGCCATTAAGGTTGCAGTGGTACTGAATGCCTTGCGCGAAAGCGCGATGTCCACAATTAGTCCAATGCGTGCGGACGTTTCGGTCCCACGTGCATCCAACGTGGCGTTGCAGCGCGTCGCCTTATGTGCGCGCGCGCACATACCACCAACCACGCACGCACGCGCACCACAAACCACTACGCACGCACGCAGACACACATGCACACGCGGTGGGATATGCACTCTGCGCCCCAACTCCCGCGTGATTGATTGGTGGCGTGTCTCGTGCGAGCGTCCTCGCATGCTTGCGCGCTCCCGCTACGGGGGGCGCGGGAAGTAGTCCATGCATGCGAGAGAACGCATGGGCGTCTGCAGAAGCTCGCGAGGGGATGCAAGTTTCCGTTGCGCGGCGCAAAGCTCGCCGCTGCGGGGTGCGCGGTAATCAGACAATACACAGAAGACAATGCAGGCATGAGAGGGATTCACGGCATTCTGCCTCGCCCGACGAGAGCGCCGTGAAGACGAGCGGTTGCGTTCGGCGCTGAGGGTTTTGTGGCATTGTGAGACCATGTGAGGTTCGCGGATGTACTCGGCGCCGAAGGTTTCGGGGCGAGTTGGGACCTTTTCGAGACGCGCCATTGCGTTCAGTGCCGAGGGTTTCGTAGCATTTTGAGACACTGCGAGACTCGCGGATGTGCTCGGCCCCGATGGTTTCGGACACTTTGAGACCCTTTTAGACTGTTTGA